TATTTATAAGGTGTTAAGAGATAATTAGAGATTAGCTAGATAGATTAACCTTTGGTAGACAAAAGGATGAGATTAAGCATAGAAAAGGACAAGTGTCATGAAATCAATGGATGTTAGACTTTGACCAACTTTCTTCCACCTTTGCTAAATACAAATTTGACCAAAAATCATCCTCACTTTCTTGCATCTTGGCTGGCCATTGAGAGAGGAAAAACCAAGAGAGAGACTATACTTTGTTCTTCAATTTCTTGTCCAAATCTTGAGTTCCAACCGTTAAAATCTCAAATTACTCCATAAAAGTTCCTTGCTAGGAAGGATTAAAGAGGTTGGTGGAGTGGTTTTGGAAGAGAAAGCACTAAGCTACCAATTTTCTTGGGGTTTTAAGATATCTTACCAAGAACTTCCTCTTTACTTCAATTAATTGTTAATTAGTGGTTTAGAGTTGTGAGTTTTGTAGTTTTATGGGAAAATTTCATGGAGAAAGTGGTGACATGGGAAATTTCAGATTTTTGGTGAATTTTCTGCCCTTATTTGATGCTTAAGCATTTGCCATGGATTGATAGCTTTGTTATATTTAATATTGAGCTTATATGTGCTAGTTTCACTTGCCTACGAAAAATTTCAGCTTGTGTAGTTAAATTTCAGCTTAGGATTTTGAATTTAGGGCTTTATTATGGTTGGTTTTAAAGCTCTTAATTGGCTAAGATTGAAGGGTATTGTGACCCTAATGAAGTGTGTTTAATAGCCTAGCAATTGTATGTGCAATTGTGGTGGATTTGGGTTCAAGTTGGTGTTTGTTTGTAAGGTGGAAAAGTAAGGAAATCTAAGGGGAAGTGCTGTCCAATTTTTAAGTCCTTGTGATTCCTTTGAGTTGGGATGATTGTGAGTAGAAATGAAAGGTTTTGGGGCCGTTTATACCTTGGCAAAAATTGTTCCTTATTTTCACTTCCAAGTTCTATTTGGCCTTGCATTAGTAGTTTAGTGAATAGGTAAATGACTCGTAATCGAGTCACAATTGTTTTTTTGGTTGTTCGTAGGATGTGCCGGTGACTCAAGGCGTACCTCGGGAGGAAACGTTTAAAGTTAACTTTATTTGAACTGGTGAGTGTACTCACATAATTGTTGCTTCTTTGCTTTATGCATATTTGAAATCTGTGATTTGAATGACTGTAATTTCTGTCTGTTCTGGATGAGACGAGGGTGTACTTTATCACGCTCGTTCTCTTTTGCTTATTTGACTGTTTACTGTATAACTTGGAATCTCTTAGTTGTGCCTGAACTAGTGTTATTTGGACGTATTTCCAACGACCTTTACTGTTAAATCTGAGCTCAACCTCATTGGTAGTAAGTTGAATCGAGCCAGCATGGGATTGGTCGAGGAAATTGACAAGCCATGGGGACTGTTTCTGGGGAATCTTTGGGTATTTGAGACTCTGGATTCCGGTATACTCGAGTATTGCCTCCTCTATTCTGTTTGGTGTTCGGGCCCAGTAAGGGGTATGTGTGGTGGATGGAATTGAGGTAAAGTGGGGTCTACGGTCATGTTTGTTCGTTAAACGTTGACGGAGAGTCAACGAGCTGTGATCAAGTATTGCAAAAGAGGAAATGGGCTCTTGAGAGCCGTTTTTATCTTTTTACTCCTGTTTACATGTGGTGGTTATTACTATTTGTTTGGTGGTTATATTTGGATTGAGTACCATTGTACTTTTGTGATTCTCATATACTTGGCGCGTTGGTACCTCATTGGGCAAAAACTCACTCTGTTGCCTTTGTTTTCCTTACAGGGCATAATATTTGGAACTATGATGTTTTTGAAGAAAGAGTCAAGCTAGTATAGATATTCTTTGGTATAGCTCCTCTGTAATTGGAAAAACCCTAATTGTATCTTGATCCGATGTTCCCTTTTGATTTGTAAAGTTACCAATGTGTGTATATAGAAGTGTTTCTTTATGTCTATGTGGTATATTTGCTTGGGAATGTACATTCTCTAGGGTTATATAAAGTTACTTGTACTTGATTGGGATCCGGTCGGATATCCGGCCAAGTCTTAGCCGGATTGTGACGTGGCCGTGACTGTTCATTTTCATTTTCGTCTTCGTTCTTTGTTATTTGTTGTCGTTGAATCGATTGATCGTAGTAATATCATTCGGAATGGTTTGGCCTTCGCGTGTGTGACTTAGTAGTCCTGGCGAGAGTTGGGCAGGCAGTTCGTTAACCCTTAGAGTACGCCCTAGGGGAAGGTGGGGCTGTCATACAGTTCATGCATTTTCAAGGTCAAAATGTGAAATTTCAGAGAAAATAGAAAACTGCCTGTAAAATAAAGCTTTTGGCAGTCAGGGGTATTTTAGTCATTTTATATGCTACAATACTCCGATTGAGCTAAAATTTTACAGGCAGATATTTAACTCCATTCCCTACAACTTTTATGTTTTGACCTAGACCTGATTCAGCCTCTATCATGGATGAACATGTAGGTCAGTAACAGAGCAGATTCATCATCAAAGCTGGAAATTCACTTCTACTCTAAAAATTCATATCCTAGCTCATTACTATCAAGTACTATATCATCAAAACCATCAATTACTAGCTCAATACCATTAATTACTACGTAAACAACCATAATCAAGGCTGAAAATTGCAAACCCTAACTAAACATTCCACTATATCATCATAACTAGGAATTCAACCATCAAAATCCAAGATTAAGAACTTCTATCCCCAACTTTAGCAAAATTAACAAGAGTAAAGAAAATTCATGTATGGTACCTTCCCAAAGCCCCTTGAAAGTGAGAAACAAACCACTTTCTCCCCAAATTTTCAGCACCCCAAGTCTTCCAAGCACCAAAAGGAAAGGTTAATCGGTTAAGTTTCGTCGATTCCTCTCAAACAAGCTTGATTGAAGGTGAAAGTTGCTAGTTTCTCTCTTGTTTGTTTTTCTCTCTTGTTTGTTTTTCTCTCTTGAAGCTCGGCCACAAGAAGAAAATGGAGCAGAATGGAAGCCAAGAGAAAGGTAAGAAGAAGGAAAATTGATTTAGTCAAAGTTGATTTTGATTTCCACCAAGTGTCGCCATAAGATTCCATCTCATTTTTTTTCTTTTCTTTCCTTTTCCTTAGTCAACAAAGATGGCTGGATTAAGGAGTAATTTATGGAGGATTAGGTGAAATAAAAACAAGGTGATTAAGGTAATAAAGTAGTGTTTAAGTGGTGTACTCACTCGGTAGTAAACGGTGCACGTCGGTTCAAGCTTATTTTCCTTACATCGCACGTGCTTGTTTTTTTACTTATGGTTCACTAACTTATTATTAGCAATTCTAATCACAAACTTTTTCTTATCTAAAACTCACTCTTAACCACCAAATTTAGTACACACTCTATACTAATTAATCATACTACCAAAATACACGAAAACCCTAATTTACCCGAACTATAAAACTAAGGGTAAAACTTTTAAATCTATTATTCATTACAACTATTGAGGGAGTAAATGAGTAGTAAAACTATCATAAAGTAATTCAGTCAAAATAAAAGGGAATTTTAATAAAATATGAACGAATTTTTCAGTCGTCACAGAATGAAAGTACACAGTATTAGCATCACCCTCTTGAAGCCACCTGACCCCCGCCTTTTGATGCCAAAAAGTGCACTCCTGAGCCAGCACCTTGTTGTAGTTTGATCTGGCCTCATGCAAAAGAGTCCTAGAAGTCATTTGTTTTAGGAAAACTTCGTAAATGTCACAGACCTAGGAAGAAAATGTATTTAAGAATGACATATAAATCTATTAGATTATGCGTTCAAAGCAATAAAAAATTTAGGTGCACCAAATATAGCCACACAAGGTAGATCTAGGTGCAAAAATGTATTTAAAAAAATACAAAGGGTTAAATCCCACTCACCTTGGTCAACTTGGAAGAAAGTGCTGCTACAATTCTAGATCCCTGTCTTCTAATACTAGAGAAATGACATGTAAATCTATTACTTTATACACATCAATTGTTGATCACTTATTTTTTTGATGCATCCCAAAGAGATGTTTAACCTTATGATAATTAACATTTCAAAACGAGCAAAGTTTCTATATTTAATATCTCCCTTTTAAGTACGTTTCCTATATTAAAAAGTTCACTTTCTTAGAAAGTTACTATTTTTTGTCAGTCTAACTAACTTTGAAAAGAATCCTGATATTTGGCCAATATTCTTGGAAAATCAATCATTAAGTTGAAGTTTAGTTAATTTAGCTTAGTCTTTATTTTGGAAAGGTCATGAATTAATTTAGAAAAGTTTATAACTTAAGAAGTCATTTATTTTTGGATAACTTCTCAAAATATCAATGACCCTGGAAAGAAAATGTATTTAAGAAAGACATATAAATCTTTTACTTTATGCATTCATGGTATGAAAATATTTAGGGCCATCGAATATAGTCATGCAAGGTCCATCTTTATACATATGGTAGTTTTTCATTAAACATTATTGTTAAAATGTATTTGAGAAAATACTAAGGGCAAAATCCCACTCATCTTGATCTACTTGGAAGAAAGTACTACCAAAATTCTGGATCCTTGTCTTTTAATTCTAGAAAAATGACATGTAAATGTATTACTTTATGCACATCAATTGTTTATCACTTATTTCTTTAATGCATCCCCTAGAAACGTTTAACCTTATGATACATAACATTTTGGCACAAGTAAAGTTTCTACATTCAATACCTCCCTTTTAAGTAAGTTTCCTGTCTTCGGAAGTTACGATTGTTGTAAGTCTAACTAACTTTGAAAACAATCATGATATTTGGTCAATATTCTTGGAAAATCAATCATTAAGCAAATTTTTATTAATTTAGCTCAGTCTTTATTTTAGAAAGGTCCTGAATTGACTTTGGAAAGTCCAAAACTTTAGAAGTCATTTTTTTTCTCTTAAAAGCCCTTTTTTTTTATTTATATCAAAGAAAAGAAACCAAGGAGGGGGACGCAGACCTTACCTCCCAGCAATTCAAACAATCCTAGCATTTTCTAATGGAAGGGAGACCAATCCTATCCAATCTAAGTGCCCCTCGGGCTCTAGCAGGGAGATCTGCAAACTGATAATAGACTCTGTCACTCCCATCATTGCAACCAACACTTGATAAGCAATCGGCCACTTGATTACCTTCTCTGAAACAGTGGGAAATACTGATGAAATAGGATGAAAGCTGGAGGAGATTACGAAACTCTGTGTGAATACCCCACGGGCACCGAGATGCCTGTTTCAATATTTGAACCAACACCAATGAATCCACCTCAACATGCACACGCGCATATCCGTGGGAAAGGCACAAATTAACCCCGAAGAGAAGGGCCCTCGCCTCAGCCTGGATGCTAGTACAGCTGCCAAAAGATGTGGAGAAAGCAAGCAATAGCTGTCCCGTATCATCGCGCAAGACCCCCCTCCTCCTACCCTCCCAGGGTTGCCTCTTGAGCATCCGTCCGTGTTCAGTTTGACCCCATCCCGCGGCGGCCTCATCCATGTCACTAACCGAGCCGACTCTGGCTTACGCACAGAGGCAACGAAAGCATAAAAGTCAGACCAATTCGTAGGGACCCAGGACCACCCAGGGAACTGCAGAATGAAGAGATTCCGCACCTCATCGAAGACAAAGCCAGAAATAGCCCCAGGGCCGAAGACTTTCCCCTCAAAACGCGCTTTATTCCTAGCCTTCCATATATTCTAGCAGATCAAAGGAGGAATAATCCAGGAGGAATAATCCAGTGAACAAAACACAGAAACACATTCGAGCTCGAGCAGAACCACCAACTAGCCAAGTGACCCCGAACCGTAGCACACGGGCTCCAAACCCCTGCCACCGAACCAAAGAATTTCCAAACCGCTACGGCCAATGTACCCCTGCAAAACGTGTGGTCGAGAGTCTCAATGCCGCCCTCGGTACAACAAAAGCACTTCGAAGGACCAGCAATACCAAATTTGCACAACGTAGCATCCAAAGGCAACCAATCCCTTAGTAGCCGAAGCAGGAAAAAAGAGGTTGTGGTGTTTCTTGGTGAAGTAGTCGTGAAAACCCTTGCCTACAACTAGGGTTAAGAGCTTGGAGAGGTTACCACTTCCTCCTCCTTTAACCTTTCAAATTTCACAAAGATTGATGGTTGGTTTACATGGGTTTGAAACCCTAATCAAGATTCTAGACTAGTGGACTTGAGGATACTTTTATCTTGCTTTATATTCTAGGCCAGCAGTCTTGAGGTGGCCTATGAGGTAGCTGGCTTGAGGATATTGCTTGATTGTTGTTGTTTATGTGAATTATAGCTTGATATTGGCTTGGTAGTGGAGAGAGATTTGAAAGAAACTCTTGAGAGGTGCTGGCCAAAATTTCTGTCTTGTGGTTTTGCTTGGATTTCAAATTTTTGTTATTTATATGGCTGCTAAACTGATTGATATATGTTGTATTATGTGTGTTGAAAGTGTCTTTCGAAAATCATTTCAATTGGTTACATCATGTTTTGGACAGTGAAAGTCAATCTATCATAGAAGAACTGCACTTGTAGTGCCAAGGATACTAGTGATAAAGGCATTGAGCAAGTAGTAGCTTGAATCTTTTCTAGGCCTCATGAATAGGCTCTCCCTCCATTTAAGAAAACGTGTATATTTCATTCTGCAAATCAATAGAGTTTTGTGGTAAGTAGTACTTGGTCATGAAGATATTGTACACATTTTCCCAAGTATTCAAGGATCCCTTTGGTAAATTCAATGGCCACGACTTCGCACGATCCCTAAGGCAATATGGGTAGTACCTTATCCGAAATTCATCCTCTGATAGTCCATTTAATGAAAAGTCTACATTGCGGAATAAAACTCCTGAATGAAAGTAAGCAGGTCCTCATTAGCCTAACCATAAATATCGGGTAGCATGTTGAAGTGCATAGTCTTTTGCTCGTAGTTTCTTATCCCTTCACTTAGCTTGATATAGTGTAGGAATGCTACTATTACAGGATGCTGGATGCCCCTCAGATGAAGTCCAATAGGTGGAACTTTTGGTGGCAAAAGTTGTGGGTTGTTATTATTATTGTTACTACGATTATCTTCTGCCATTGTTCCTTTGTCTAAACTTGTTGATCCTACCAATTTCATTGTGATGTTGATAGTGGGTGATGGTGGTTGCAATGTCAGCTTTTACAAATGAGTTTGTTTCCTGCAATACTTTGCAATTTCTTCTATCTAAGAATCATATACCAAATCACTCTTCTACGATCGGGTCATACACTAAGTACCTACGCAAGAGGATTGAAAATAAAGTAAAGAACTAGAAATAAGAGAAAATAAAGAAAAACAAAAATAGAAAATAAAATAAAAATAACTAAAGTAAAGAAATTAAGCATCGATCTTCAACAACAATGCCAAAAACTTGATCGATAAATTTCTGCAAGCGCATATGATCGATTGTAGTAATAAATTACTCGGAGTGTTCCAGGGTCGAATCCACTGGGACGAGTTAATTTTCTACTTTATTATCCTAACAAAATTTAAATTCAATGAGTTGTATTTTCTAACTAAGCAATAAAATAATAATCAATTTAAATAAAGTAATGGTGAGAAAACAATAGACACAAGGTTAGGATTTCAGGTTATAATCTAGAATTGGAATTAAGTATCTAGTTAATTTCTTAACAAACCATGAACGCTACAATTGTATTTAGATTATCTCTTGATACAGCTAAAGTGTGCCTAATTAAATCTTATATCTCTCTCGAGATCACAAGTATTTAATTAAATCCTTTAGGAACTTTGGTGATATAAGTGTGTCATAAAAATCTTACCATACTTTCGTGATTAGACTAAATATGTTTATCTATCTAGTGGATGACTGTATCTCTCTTGTCAGTTCAATACAAACCCTAAGAGCATGTGTATGGTGGCCAAGCATAAACACATGATTAAAATTAAGATAGATAAATCATAACAAAAGGGAAGAAATTAAATTAGAAAATTAATCAAATTCCTTCATAAGAACCTTAACCCTAGAAACAATTTAGTTTAATATAATTAGAAAATCAAAATCACGAATTCAAAGAGTTGCTATAAAGATAAGAAAAAGAGTAAGAAAACTTCCCAGTTGCTTGCTCCAATATTCTCTTTGCATGCTCCTTAATTTGCCTCCATTTGATCTTGATCTCTCAAGAATAAACTATGAAAATATGTTAAAACTAACTAGGCTAATGTCTTTCATACCTAAAAACATCCTAGATAGCCCCAATTTATAGTTTCTTAAAATATTATCCAAAATGAGGTAGAATTGGGCTTATTGGAGTTGAAAAATGACACTTTCACACATTTTTCGATAAACACCGGCGCCAACACTAGCTTAGACTCTGGCACCATTGTTGGGGACAAGAGAAATACCGGTGAAAAGACCGAAATTAACACCGGTGCAAGTTACAACTGATCCATGGATGGATCACCTGGGAACCACACGTGGATCCATTTCAAAGTAAAAAATTCTATAAACGAGGCTGAATCACCTCTTGTCCAAAACATGAAATTTTGTAATCATTGAATTAACTTTCGAATGCCATAAAAATTATGTCATTTGGAGGTCTAGATGCTGAGATATGCCCAAAATACTAAAAATTGGTCAGAAAAACATTGCAGCGCAATTATACTTCACTAATTTGGACTTTTGGCTATGTAAATGTGAGAATTGGAATTTGATATCTCATAAGAATTGTAAAGAATTCTCTTAATTTCAAAATAAATCAAGAATCATCTCAATCCGATTTTAATAGGTTAAGTTATCGCCAAAACATTGAAATATATCAATCCTAGGTTAAGTTACTCTTCATGTTTTCTTCTTCCATTGCTTCTTTTCGCCACGTTTTTGGTTTGTTTTCTCTCAAATTGAACTCTTATCCTATTAGAACAATAAAAGAGTAAAATTAGGTAACTTTCATTCAAAATAAAGCTCAAATAATATAGTCAACTAGCGACTTATGCATGTAAATGTACTACAAATTAGGCCCTGTCAATGGATACATTCTTAGTCCCTTTTCAGACACATATAGACTAGTAATGTAACTTGCAATTGAAATCTACATGATCTATTTGGTATCATTAAATATTAGAAGTATTGATCACCCTTACCACTCATCCATACTAGTCCGAAGAGACTTATTGAACATTCTGTAGAGTACTAGGCACATCACTAAAATTCTGAGTGCTTTATGTTTCATTAATCAACATGATATGAATTATAACTTGGTCACAGAAATCTATAACTAATACTTGAATTACAAATCATGCTTGAAAATCTAGAGAGATTTAATAAACGAGCCATCAGTAACCCAAATTGATTTTAAGTTCATCTAGTGAGAAGTGCGTGTTAAGCAAGGAATCATGTGCACCCTATATGATCAATCACATATGGATTACTAATCTAAATGCTCTCAAGGACAACCCACAAACAATCTCTTAATTAAGTGATCTTTACAGTATATTAATAACTACTAATAGATTAGTCAGAATACAATTCAAAAGGGTCAACACTTTCTCAAGTGTTTTGATGTCCAGTACAAGATTAATAAAAATTAAAAAAAAATGAAAAACGTAGAGCCTTACTTATGTTGCAATGATGAGTTATTATCCGATTTCGAAGTTCCTTATCTTTCATCTTTTCCTCTTCCAAAAGCTAGCTCACCATCTCCCTCAAACTCACATGTGTTTGTCAATTTGCCAAAGAAAGAAATATGATTTACTATGTGTGTAGGGTATATAAATCTCTTACCTACTCTAGTAGTGTTATTTGGAGAAATCAAAGCTCGATTGAAAAGGTAATATTCTAATTGCTAGTTGGTAATGTCATGTAACTGGGCTTGATTGATGTTATACTAAATGTGATTAGAATCTTACCATGGGAGTTAATGAAAATGGATTGACACATCTATCGAATCTTATGGCTAGTGTTTAATAGTATGACTAGGTTTATTTGCCAAAATAATGATTTGCCTAAGTAATATGGTAGGGGTGTGATTTTAGGGATATTACTTCCAATGACTTCCTAGAGTAGTTACATGGACATGATGGTTATAACATCAGGAATGTCTAAAGCAGGGAACAAGGTCCCAAAAAACATACAGCATCCAGAACAACATCTAAAGCTCAAGAACACAAACTTACTTTAACTCCATGTTGTTTCTTAAAATTAAAAAAACAACCATATGATCAAATTCTGGCATGATGAGAAATGATTTACATCAAGATTTCTAGATGCAAGATGAGCATATCAAAATTTGCCATTTTCTTCACATGAAAGCTTCAAAGAAATAGGTTTCTTATTCTGCTACTTTTAAAGCACAAAATCCGTTCCTTCAGATTGCTTGGATCATTACAAACTTAACTAGGACATCCATTCATCACAAAAACATTCAAACAAGAGAACAAACATATAAGAATTTCATGGTTGCACTTTTGAGCAAAAAAGCTCCAAGTCCAAAGAGAAAATTTTGACCACAACTCTGAAAA